CTAAGTCATTAATAAAGATGTTGAACAGGACCGGGCCCAGGACGGAACCCTGCGGCACTCCGCTCGTCACTTCTTTCCAAGATGAAGAGGAAGCATTGGTGAGCACCCTCTGGGTTCGTCCATTTAACCAATTACAGATCCACCTCACCGTAGTTTTGCCTAGCCCACATTGGACTAGTTTCCTTGCCAGAAGGTCATGGGGGACCTTGTCGAAGGCCTTACTGAAATCCAGGTACGCTACATCCACGGCATTCCCCGCATCTACCCAGCTTGTAACTCTATTGAAAAAAGAGATCAGATTAGTCTGGCATGACTTGTTTTTGATAAATCCATGTTGACTATTAGCGATGGCCGCATTTGTTTCTAAGTGTTTGCAGACCACTTCCTTAACTATAATCTTTTCCAGAATCTTGCCTGGTATCGACGTGAGGCTGACCGGACGGTAATTGTTTGGGTCATCCTTTTTTCCCTTCTTGAAGATTGGGACCATATTGGCCCTCCTCCAATCTGCTGGAACTTCTCCCGTTCTCCAAGAACTCTCAAAGATGATTGCCAATGGTTCCGAAATGACTTCTGCTAGTTCCTTCAGTACTCTTGGGTATAGTTGATCTGGCCCTGGGGACTTGAACTCATTTAGATGGATTATTATTTTATGGTGAACTAAGTTCAAGACCATTAGCTTACTGACATTTTGCCTTCAGTTTACTGATCTTAATCTATGAGCCCTCAAAACTAACTTAAACTATCCTTTCCATAAACGTGTGACTGCTTCCCTTTTCTGATTGCCACTCCATTGCTCACTAAAGATTCTCTTTACCGTCTCTCTGTTTTGGCTTCTGAAGGTGTGAAGATGAACATGTCTTTGGGAGAAGGATAGAGGGAGGTACAGGTGAAGGAATAAACATGGCTAACAAGTATTGCTATCATGCTTTTGCTAGCTTGTTGGGATGATACAGCACAGGTCCAAATCTTCCGCAATCATCAGTTCAAAACACTTAAGAAGAGTACAGTGAAATGCCAGTATCCATTTAGGTTTGGTTCTGGGACCTCCCCGCCTTCCCAGGTTACAAAAAATCTGTGGATGCTCAAGTTTTGTTATACACAATGGTATAGTAAAGTGGAGTCCTCTGTATGCAATGACTAACAATTAAAAATATGCCACAGTGATCCTGAGAATCTGTGAAATGTCAGGAGTCTACAAGAAGATATGCCTACCCATGAGATATGCCTACCCATAAAACTTAGGCAATCACTCGTTGTCCAAGTATGATGGACTTCCAAGCATAGTGTCTTGGCAGTGAATACGTAGGTGACTATAGAACGCTATTCTTGACCCGCATGTTCTTCCACAGTAAGGACATCGGTTTCCAGGCGGAAGGTGGTCCCGGTCAAGGTTCCTCTTGGCACGTTTTTCCCTTTCACCCTCCATTCATGCCTCTTCAAATTCCACAGCACTGCTGGTCACAGCTAACCTCCAGTTAGAGTGGTCAAGAGCCAGGGCTTCCCAGTTCTCAGTGTCTATACCACAGTTTTTAATACTCAGTTAATACAGTTTTTAATACTCAGTGCAAAATAAAGGATTGCTTTTTTGGATTTTTAAAAATATTTTCAAGCAGTGGCTGGGTACAGAACCACTGTATCAAGAGGGACAACTATATCAATATAACACTGAATTTCTAACTTTTTAATCTTACCATTAGTGTGTATTTAATATGAATATTGTTGGTCAGTTGTAGCATTATTCTTTTGCTCCACCGTATTCAGTAGCCCCATTTCAACATCCAGTTCATGGTTTTCTGGTTCCATAACTGCCACCAAATGACTCTGAATACCTTATTTTTTATTTACTTTCTATTAAATTGCCACTTTCAGGTGTATTATGTGTCAGGTGGTGAAGAGCACTGGTGCAGTGCGGTGTCACAATGTTGTCACCCCATCAAAACAGACTGTTAGGCATTGAAAATCAGAGATGTGGAGGAAGAGAGGCTAGTAACCCTTATGTTCCCTCATCACCATAAGATCTCCCCCAGCCTCAGATGAGATTTCACAGCTGTATCAACAAGCTTTATTTTGATTAATTGCAGCATGAAAAAATTCCACTGTTGATATTAGGAAATGAAGCTGAACAAGCTGGAGGAAGGAGAGCATCATTTGGATTGCCAAAAAGAAAGTGCGATGTCCTCTGCATCAACAGTCATATCAAGTGAGACAACGCCATGGTTTGTTCCAAAGCAATAATTTCTGCTTGAACTGGATGCTGCTTCTTCCAGCGCATCAAGGAACTATTTAAGTAACATGCTTCCATGATGTTTTAAAAAATCCTAATGTTGTTGTCTCTCACTGCCCCCCCCCCCCCCCCCCCCGCCATAAAGAAATGTCACCTCTGTTTCCTTGGTCACTGCTTTCTTTGTGGCTGATCTGGTCAGTCTAACATTTGATATATCCCAGACTGAGATAATACAAGTAACAGGAATGAGCGATACTTCCAGTAGAGGACTAGCATGCATCAGACTGTCCACCTCCCTCCTGTCCTTTAGAGGGAAACTTAAGACTTGGCTATGGGACCAAGCGTTCGACCAGTGAATGGCAGCAAGTGAAAGAAGCAACTCGTGACAATGAATGGACCTGGACTTGAATTTTGGATTCTGATTTTTAATCTGCATGTTTTAATCTATTGTTTTAATTATTGTTTTAATATTTTAATGTATTGTTGAATGTTTTATGATGGTGGCATCGTATGGTGCTTCTGTGGGGCTGCACTGAGTCCCCCCCCCCCCCCCGGGGTATAAATATAGGAAATAAATAATAAAATAAATAAGAAATAGGCACTTAATTTCTGTCCTGGGCATACTTTTCTGGGACTACCATTTTTCTCACGTAGGCCTTACTTCTAGAGTGAGATACCAACCTATCAAACATATGATCCAACATTTCACAGAAAGCAAAATCAAAGTGTGGTGAAGGTGGTGGCAAAAGTTATTAATGAGGAAGAATACACATGCTAGGAAAGTCTCCAACGGTTTTGCTTGATGCTAATCTAGTCTTTACCCTGACAGGATTAATTTTCTAGTTCAGAAGGATTTTCTCAAATTGCACAGATCAGTCATGCATTTCCCATCTGAGTAAGCAAATTAGGAGTTGCCAATTTTCTGTCATTTCAAAACTTTCTCTTGTGACTTTCATCTTTCAGCTATTTTGCCTAGGACAGGAAATACTTTCTTCTGGGGTCCTGTAATGTCAAGACTGAGCAAAATTAAGTGGAGCAGAAAGTACAAAAAGTGGTACTCAATCCTTGCTTGAGGGTATTACAGATATAACAGTCATGTACAAGTAGTAGAGTAAATACAACAGAAGCAAATACAGTATAGGGACCTCCAGTGATTGAAATGTGAGAGTGACTTCACTCGTCTTTAGAAACAGCAGCACCCATTTGCTATCAGTGTTAAGATTCAAAACAAACACATGCTGATAAATTGACTCTTATAAATATGGGAGGATTGAAGTCTAAATCTAACAGGACAACCACCAATGGAGTCACTTCCTTGAATGGAATCAGGAGGAGATAAATCACTTCTCCCTACTGCTGTCACCCCCGCAAAGTGAAAACCTACCCCAAAAGGTTAGAAAACTTACTAGAGCTACTTTTCAGCCCACAAGGCTTCAGGGAGTTCCAGGCAAGAGAGTTGGGGAAAAGGAAAAAATGGGGACCTACTGGCAAATTTCAGGGAGATTTACTGTAGTTTAACAAGAATTCAGACTTCTTGTTATCTCTCAGTAACAACATCATCAAAACCCCATCCAAATTATATTGCTGAAAATGCATTCTCTGGGAAATCTGGTTGTATATTTGTATGCAAATACATATGTGGGCTTCGTTCTGGTACTACTCACAAATTCCCAAGTTAAACAAGTACAGTATGACTGAGGTGCCTCTGCAAGAACCCTCATCGTTTACCCCTATTTCAGCCCTTTTTAGTTAAAGGGAATTAGCATTTTGTGTATAGTTTTTTGAGGGGTCAGTCTAGACAGTCTTTTGGGAATCCCCTCAAGGGCAGAGCACTCCTGGTTCTTGGAGGAGTTAGCCTTTTTGGTGACTGGAAGGTGAAGAGAGAGGAAGGCAGAAAGTCTACAAAATTGAACATCCAGTCAGGGCCATTTTCAAATCCAGTCAGAGCTGTATGAGATGTATTCAAGTCAGTCAGAGTTAAATACTGAGACCATCTTAGAGACATTTGAACATTATACAAGGAAGAGACTATAAGAAAAAATAAAGATCCAAGAGCCTCAGTTTGGCCAGAACTGTCTCTATCTCTTTACCCCTTCTCATAAGGAAGTGAGACTCAGGAGAGAAGGTCTAAAATTCTTCTGAGTTAATACATTCTTGTTTGAGCCTATAGTCTCCAATCTGTTCCTGCGCAGCCAGTTGACTTTCCAAGTAGCTAAGATACCATGGGGGCAGAACAATGACTACCAGATGAGCTACATCCAAGAGTATGGCGGATGTCCTGTATGCTTTGTGGTTCCCTTTAATCTCCATTAATCAGACCTTTCTGGATGCCATGAGATGATCTTCCGGGACTAATAGCTCCGTGTGAGAACTCTCCTTAAAGTACTAGGATTTTTAATCCCACTTTCTTATTCTGGATTAAGCAGCTGTCTGGAAGAGTCCCATGAAAGCATTACTCGTGTTAAATGTAACCAATAAATGGTCACTGTAACAAAGTGATTAATGCTCTAAAGTCAATTTTTACTTAATCTTAACACACTTGCACTGATGTTCATACTTCCAATTTCTGGCAAGATTTGGACTTGTAAGTTTGGGAGTAAAAGAGAACCATGGTCCACTATCCCATTATCTTTGGGGAGTTGTAGAGAGATAATTGGGAAAGGGCCAGACAGGTTCTTAATCATTTAGACACTTTCTAGTTTCCAAGTTACAGAACATTTTATTTGGAATTCCAAGATACCCCAAAATGCAAAACAATCCACATGAATTAGTTGAGAAAGCGAGACATTTTATTTTGGTTTAAAACATTTTGCACACAAAATTATTAACAATACTATGTATATCACATTACACAGGTGACCTTTAAGCTATGTATATGAGAGGTATATGAAACATAAATAATTTCAGGTTTAGACATGAGTTCCGTATGCAAAACAAGTATTCCATAATCCTATTTCTAGTGTTCACAGTTCTCCCCCAACTTCCATATTCCTTTCAAGAACAGTCTTTGGTAGGGCAGGATTACTATTCACACAACGCAGAAATGGAAAGAAGCAGTGACTTGCCTAAGGTCACATGAATCTCATCACTAAGGTTATTAATGGGAATGTCCTGCTTTGGTACTCGTAAATGTGGCCATCCTACCATAGAATTAATAGATACATAATTTAACTTCAGTTAACAGTTGACCAAAGTAGCTGCTTACTGACAGAACCAGTTCCGTGTACGAATGACATTGGCAAAAATACCAGCTCAGCTATTATAACAGATGTTTAATGGTTAAATTTCATGAAGTGCCTAGAAATTCCTTAGAACTGAAAAACCTCAAAAAGCTTTCGTGGAATACATGAAGTGCCTTAAAACTGCTGAGCGGTGACACATTTTCAATGGGCTGGAAAACTCAGTGCTGAAATACAAGAAAAAAAGCACGCAGCAGTAAAGTGAAATGACTTCCTCATATGGCTTTTAAAAGAGTGGAACAAGGGAAAAGTGCAGACAGGGAAGGTGGAATGTTTGTTGCCTTTGCTCATTTCTTCAGACTGGAATAGTTGCTGCATTTAAATTCTTGGACTGAAGATCCAAATCTTCCTCTAAGAGAAGAAATAGGAAGACAAGAAGTAGCAGACCGTGATAATGGGTACATGTGCAAAAGCCCTGTTTCTTTTGATTAAAATAGTACAGATAGCTTATCAAAATCCAGGTGTGTAGACATTGACTTTGGTCAGTGTTTGTGTGTGTGTATGTATATATGTATGTGTGTGTATACAAAGGTAAAGGTTTCCCTTGACATTAAGTCTAGTTGTGTCCAACTCTGGGGGGTGGTGCTCATCTCCATTTCTAAGTTGAAGAGCCGGCGTTGTCTGTAGATGCCTCCATGACTGCATGGAGCACCGTTACCTTCCCGCTGGAGCATTAAGCATTATCTAACTGCTAGGTTGGCTGAAGCTGGGGCTAATGGTGAGAGCTCACCCTGCTCCCCGGATTTGAATAACCGACATTTCAGTCAGCAAGTTCAGCAGGTCTGTGGTTTAACCCACTGTGCCACCAGAGACTACACACACACACACACAAATGGAATCTCGTAACTCAAAAAGTAACTCCGAGAGGATAGTAATTTCTTAGACTTTCAGAAATTACTAATTTACCACATCTGCCATTCTCAGTTTTGAAATACATTGAGAATCAAAAATCTTTTGAGAACAGCATTAAATTGGCAGAAGATGAACATTATTCTTTTCCACATGCTTTACGGCACATGTATAGTTACACAATTTGGTCCTTCCAGAAGTATTTATTTGTGCAACAAAATTGTACATTGGATATTGTACAGAAAGAAAACCCTACGAACATTGCAGTACAAATATTTAAAACGTAAGCATACATAATAACTAAATGGAGGAGACAATGTTCTGTACTGGCTTGAGCCTTGGACTATGGAGACTCAAGTTCAAATTCCCACTCAGCTGTGGAAACACACCAGGTGACTATAGATAAGTCACACACTCACAGCCTTAGAGGAAGGCAAAAGCAAACAGAATAGATCTTGCCACGAAAACCTTATATTAGGTTCACTTTAGGCTTGCTGCAAGTTAGAAATCTACTTGGAACATGATTAGATAGAAATGAATCAATGTTGCTATCTAGCATCTCCCATCCTGACATCCCCAATCCTGCCTTATTGGGGAGCAGCTGCTGCAAGCAACAGAGATCTGTTCTCCTGTTGATCAGGACACAGCAGAGAATTGTTTCCACCCATCTTCTGTGAGCAACCTCCAGTGTGAAAGACAAAAGGATCCCTGTAGGTAAATCCTGCTCACACTAGAGATCACTTGCAGGAAGGTCATGGGAACATTAGTCTGCCGCTTCACAATCTACAAGAAAACAAACCTCTGTTATCTGCAGTGACTGCTTCCTGGTAAATCAGGATTCGGGGATTTTTACAATCCTTGTGTATTTACTACACTATTGAATGTATAGGGATCATGAATACAAATCTGTTACAGATGTGTAACACTTCAGTGATTCTCATACTCTGATCCACCAGATATTTCGGTCTTCAGCTCCCGAATCTCTGGTCATTGGCCAAGGTGGCTAAGGCTGCTGGGAATTGAAATTCAAAACACCTGGAGAACCAGAATTTGGGAATCACTACTATGCATTTGTAACTGCAATTGTGAATTTCATCCCCATTGATACTTATATGCCTGGAAAACACTTGAATACCTCATTCCTAAAGAAGATATGCCAAATATTCTGCTTCTAATACTAATCTTTAATACCACTATGCATATATTATGAGTGTGTATGCGTATGGAAGTTGTTGGTGTCTGAATGGGAAAGAGCAAGGCAAATAACCATTTGAAAGCCCTTGAGGGATAAACAACTCAACAGCAGCATAGAAAGAAAGTGGCTGGAAGGCTGAAATCACAGGAAAGAACATACATTTTGTAAACAGAATGGTTTTATTCCTGAGGTCCACTAGTACAGTCCCGTTAATATCTTCTACCCTGCCATATAATCCAAATTATCAAAGCAAATAATCTACATGATCTGCTTTGAACTGGATTATATGAGTCTATACTGCCATATAATCCAGTTCAAAGCAGATAATCTGGACTTTATATATGGCAGTGCAGAAGGGGCCTGAATGAGCAACATGGGGATTAATTATATGCAACTAGCACTCTTCACTATACATTGTCAAAGGTCTGGCTATTGATTTTTCTAAAAGGAAGTGTCAAAAAATATATCAATATTGTATTACTTACTCCTTGATAACTGGTTTCTTCTTCTTCTTTCACCTGGTGAGGAATATTTTTTAAAATGATATACTTTTACTTGAAAAAATGCAGTGTTTTATATGTCAAAGTACTACACATAAAATGGGGCCTCCTCTGTGTCCCACTGTGGGAGAAATGCATCACACAAGGACATGGGACAGGGGCCCCTTCCACACTGCCATATGATCCAGATTATCAAAGCAGATAATCCACATTATCTGTTTTGGACTGGATTATCTGAGTCTACGCCGCCTAATAGAGTTCAAAGCAGATAATTTGGATTTTAAATGTCAGTGTAGAAGAGGCCAGGGATTTATTTGCTGTGGCACCTCATTTGTCAAATGGGATTTAATTGGTCTTGATATTTCTTTGCCAAGTCAAAACATAACTTTTTGTGTACACCTTTAGTACCTTATTTATTTTTCAAGTGTACATATATCAGGCTTCAACCGTAACTGGTTCAATCTATTTAAGGCCCCTTTCACATAGTTGAATAAAATCCCACATTTTCTGCTTTGAACTGGAATATATCAATGTGAACTCAGATAACCCAATTCAAAGCAGATATTGTGGGATTTTCTGCCTTGATATTCTGGGTTATATGGCTGTGTGGAAAGGCTCTACATTATTATTGCTTTAAATCTGAAATTGTCTCCAACAGCTTGTACTGTTTTATTTTTATACTGTTCTGATGACCCACAATAAAAGATGGGATATAAATACTTTAATCAATAAATAAAACCAAATTTCAAATTTTACATTTAACTAAGTAAAATGATTTTTTTTTGTAACAGCTACAATTTTTCCCATCAAAACAAAATCAGCCTTCCCACTCCCTCCCCTTGCACCTTTATATGGTATTCTTGAATATTTATACTGTCACAAATTGGGGCAGTGTATCATGGGACAAAATCTAGTTTTGGTAGGAAGCAAAAGACCTTTAATCCCATAAGGCACCTTAGGGATGTAGTCAAAGGGTGCATCTACACTATAGAATTAATGCAGCTTGCAATTCTTTTTACTGCCATGCCTCAAAGCTATGGAATCCTTGGTGTTGTAGTTTTACAAGCTCTTTAGCCTTCACTACCAAAGAATTCTAGAGCTCATTCAGAAAAAATCATTTTCCAAATGAAGCAGAGAGTGTTTGAGGATCGGGACATCCGTAAGGATACCAAGGTGCTGTTTATAAAGCTATTGTCCTCCCAACCCTACTATACGCCTGTGAAATGTGGACTGTCTACAGATGTCACACTCAACTCCTGCAATGATTCCATCAGCGTTGCCTCCAAAAAATCCTGCAAGTCTCTTGGGAAGAGAGGAGGACAAATACCAGCATGCTGGAAAAAGCAAAGACCACCAGCATTGAAGTGCTGTCCTCCCGCCATCAACTCCGCTGGACCAGCCACGTTGTCCAAATACCCGATCTCCATCTCCCAAAGCAGTTACTATACTCCCAACTCAAGAACAGTAAACGTAATGTTGGTGAACAAGAAAAGAGATGCCACAGCTTTTAAAGCCAACCTTAAAATCTGTGGCATAGACACCAAGAACTTGGAAGCCTGGCCCTTGAGCGCTCTACCTGGAGGTCAGCTGTGACCAGCAGAGCTGCAGAATTCAAAGAGGCACGAATGGAGGGCGAAAGGGAGAAATGTGCCAAGAGGAAGGCGCATCAAGCCAACCCTGACCAGGATTGGCTTCCACTGGGAAACCGATGCCCTCACTGTGGGAGATCAAGAACAGGGCTCCACTGCCGCTTACAAACCCACTACCAAGACACCAGACTTGGAGGACCATCATCCTTGGGCTACGAGGGATCGCCTAAGTAAGTAAGTAAAGTAAATAAGTAAGCAAGCTAGGGTTCACCAAACTACAGCTCCCAGGATTCCATATTATTGAGCCATGACAGTTGAATTGGTGTCAAATTGCATTAATTCAGCAATATTGATGCACCCACAGTCTCTAAAGTCAATGAAAAAAAGTCTCAACAATCTGGGGAATTAATTAGTGGTATAAAAATGTGGCTGAAAACATCACCTTCTAGCATTATTATTATTATTATTATTATTATTATTATTATTATTATATCATCATCATCTTTATTTATACCCCACCTTTCTCCACAGAGGGACTCAAGTGAGCTAATAACCACACAATCTAATAACAATTTAAAACAAAACAAATATAAAAAAATTAAAAAACAATTAAATATTAGTGCATTGATATAAAGAAAAAAAATATAAGATCTGACAGGTTCGTAGACCGACCTCTCCTTACAGAGACTTTAAACCTAACTAAGTGCCATGAAATAAGGACTTTGAGTATCAAACAACTGTTGAGTTGCCAAATAGAAGAGGCAGAAGCAAATTAATACTCTCTTACCTTTTTGGGTGTACCAATTTGTGAATTGTTTTTTCCTCAACTTTGTGAAGATGAATGTTGTCAGAACCAATACTACTAGCAGACAAATTGGTAGCAAAACAATCAAGGTTTTTTTTTCCATAGTTGATTTATCTGCAAAATCTGTGAGCAAGAAAATCCATGTGATTTACTTGCAGTTTACACGCAAATCAATCCGTTACTCAGGCCAAAGAAGTTATGTATAAATGCTTCTTTTCGTAAGTGTCCCTTGCCACACCAGTGATGGCCTGATGCATATTGTGCAGGTTCTGTGGAAGTGAGATTCTGCTCCAAATTCAATATATATAAGCATTTATTATATTCTTAAAAATGTTCTTTCCCCAATGGTTTAAAGCACTGGTTTCCAACCTTTGGTCCTCCAGGTGTTTTGGACTCCCACAATTCCTAATATATGGTAAACCAGCTTGGATTTCTGGGAGTTGAAGTCCAAAACACCTGGAAGGTCGGGAACCACTTAAGGGATGTGGTAAGGATCAATGTGTGCAAAATTCCAAGCAGACCTTCACACAATTCAGAGCCAACAAAATGTCCTAGTATTACCCACTTAATGGACTGGATTGAGTTGGCAGTGAGATGCCTGAGTGCCTTCCATGTCGACAGAGGATGCATCTAGAATTAACACAGTTTTACACCACTTTAACTGCCTTGGGTCAATGCTATGGAATCACAGCAGCTGTAATTTTATATGGTTATAGCCTTTTCCATTAAAGAGTGCTGGTTCCTCACCAAACTACAACTCCCAGGATTTCACATCAGTGAGCCATGGCATTTAAAGTGGTTTCAAACTACATTCATTCTACCATATAGATGCCCTCTTAAACAAAAGCAAATGGTGGCAGCTTCTCTTACTTCATATATTCTTCCTCACTAATAATTATTGCCATCTTGACCACACTCTTGGCCAAATCTCTTCATCTTTCTCTTCCTAACAGTTGGCCACCGATAAGCATCAAGGATGTTTCCAGAGTTTGGCGATATGGGAAGAACCTGTGTCTCCTTTACTCAAACTCTAAATGGAGAAAAACCGCTCAGTTTCCATATCTCAAGGATCATAATGGCATCCTCTAGTAAGTCAAGTACCCCTTTCCCCAGCTCCAAATGTTGCGGGAGGAGATTTTTCAGTGAGCAGAGACTGGAGGGGAGAGCTAAAAGTTAATGAAGCAATGCAAACTGGCACATGAAGACCAGAGTCTAATTACCTAATCGCACCACTGGGATCAACTTATTACAGTTCAGGACCAGGTAGAGTTCAGAAAAAGCTGCTCGGCAGCTGTGTGATGTTTCATCTATAGCTGGAGAAGGAGGACAATTGCTTCATTGTACATTTAATTTTTTCTGAGCTGGCTGGGGAAGTGCAGAAGATGAAGAGGGGTGGGCATGAGAGGAGCTCTGCTTGTGATGTCATGTACCTGTTTCATAGACAAGTGAGGATGCATCTGCACTGTAAATTTAATGCAGTTTGGCACTGCTTTAACTGCCATGGCTCAATAGTATGGAATCATAGAAGCTACAGTTTTGTGAGGCACCAGCCCTCTTTGGCAGAGAAGGTAAAAGACTTTGTAAAATGACAACTCCCATGATGTATTGTGCCATGGCAGTTAAAGCCATGCCAAACTGGATCAATCTGCACAGAGTCAATTAACACTGAGACTATTCTCAAATGGACAGAGAACTTGTAGTGCTAACAATCAAAATGTATTATGAACCTGTTCCACCTTTTTCTCCATAACAGTTTTTTTCCTTGTAAGTAAAACATATGGAAAACCTAGGAGAGTTACAAATGTAGACAATCTCTGGATTTCGTAACTATTCTTCACATAGCAGATATGATGTTCAAGGAAGGATCATTGCAGGATATATTACCATAGGAAGAAATAGTCATTGACAGAGATAGAATGAAGACTACTGCAGAATGAATGCAGGTTGACATTACTTTGACTGTCATGGCTCAATGTTATTGATCCAGGGGAGTTGTAGTTTTATGTTGGTGTTTACCAAACTAAAACTCCCATGATTCCGTAGTACTGAGCCATGTCAGTTAAAGTAATGTCAACCTGCATTCATTCTGCAGTGTAGATGCACCCTGTCTCTGTTTCTGAAGGCAAAATAAAGTAACTAGCCATCTTCTCCTGACCCATTGTTTACACATTTTCTATGGCATTCTCCCTGCTGTATCCCCAGACCACAGTTTCCCAAACACCTCAAGAAATTCACTCTTATCCTTACCTGAGGTTGTACTCATAGAATCATAGAATCAAAGAGTTGGAAGAGACCTCATAGGCCATCCAGTCCAACCCCCTGCCAAGAAGCAGGAATATTGCATTCAAATCACCCCTGACAGATGACCATCCAGCCTCTGTTTAAAAGCTTCCAAAGAAGGAGCCTCCACCACACTCCGGGGCAGAGAGTTCCACTGCTGAACGGCTCTCACAGTCAGGAAGTTCTTCCTCATGTTCAGATGGAATCTCCTTTCTTGTAGTTTGAAGCCATTGTTCGCGTCCTAGTCTCCAGGGAAGCAGAAAACAAGCTTGCTCCCTCCTCCCTGTGGCTTCCTCTCACATATTTATACATGGCTATCATATTTCCTCTCAGCCTTCTCTTCTTCAGGCTAAACATGCCCAGCTCCTTAAGCCGCTCCTCATAGGGCTTGTTCTCCAGACCCTTGGTCATTTTAGTCGCCCTCCTCTGGACACACTCCAGCTTGTCAATATCTCTCTTGAATTGTGGTGCCCAGAATTGGACACAATATTCCAGGTGTGGTCTAACCAAAGCAGAATAGAGGGGTAGCATTACTTCCCTAGATCTAGACACTATGCTCCTATTGATGCAGGCCAAAATCCCATTGGCTTTTTTTGCTGCCACATCACATTGTTGGCTCATGTTTAACTTGTTGTCCACGAGGACTCCAAGATCCTTTTCACACGTACTGCTCTCGAGCCAGGCATTGTCCCCCATTCTGTATCTTTGCATTTTGTTTTTCCTGCCAAAGTATCTTGCATTTGTCACTGTTGAACTTCATTTTGTTAGTTTTGTCCCATCCCAGTGAAACTGACTTTTTCCTTTCCTCACCAAATATCAGTTATTTTATAACACTCTGTTTCTGACTGTTTCATTCATTCAGTCTCAAAACCTTTTTTATATTACCGGATACATTCCCTGTATGTATAGATACATGGAGCTGGAATAAATACAACTATGAGGCTTCTGTGTAAGGAAATTCAAAATTCGTTTGTACGCATAAATGCTTACCGAGCGATAATACTGCACCATGTGCAGATGTGTTTTCATTTAGTTCCCTATTCCAGAATGTACAGCTATAGTTTCCATGATTCCCTGGTTTGACTCTCAGGGTACTAGTTATGTTGAAAAGTCCATCCTCTGTCATTTGATGCGTAGTGAAGGCTAACCCGCTGAGATTAGTACTCTCCTCATTTTGCCAAGAAACCTCAGCAAGAGGATATCCTTGTGACTGACAAGTCAAATTCAGCTCTGCTTTTTCTTTTCTCTTCTGGAAATGTATTTTCTTGTATGGTGCTGTAGAAGGAAAAAGTAAACTACAATTACTGTAAGACTCCAGTAATTGTGGAACCCATATACATGGTTTCACCTCACTTTCTGTCCCTGTGATAATTGGATGTTGAAAACTTTGGCTTGTGGTGGAAACAAAGATTAGTTGATAAAACTTCAGTGGAGAACTCTTTCCCCCATGATAATTATTTCAGGAGTGAATTTCCCTTCCAAGGGGTAGATTTCTCTCACTTCCTGTTGTCTCACCCCTATTCTTAACTATGAGTAGGTTCTATTAGTCGAACGTTTGTAACTCAGGGATTGCCTGTACAGCTAAATGAATAAAAAGTTGGGAACATCTTGTTCTCGCTTGCTGAGATTCTGATCATTATAACACATTATAGGCTAGTCCCCACTCTCCAAGCCTTCTGGGTACAATTGAAGACATAGCCTTTGACCATGTCTAGAAATTGGAGGACCTGGAGATTTTTCACTGTGCACTTTATGAGACTGATATTGACTGCAGTTTGTTTTGTATTTTGTATATTGCGTGTTTGCACCTTTGAGTGCTTTGTGAGGTGCCCCAAGTTTCTCTGGGAAATGGTGGCAGGGTATAAAAAAGATGATGATGATGATGATGATGATGATGATGATGATGATGATGATGATGATGATTATTATTATTATTATTCTCCATAGGTAAGGTAGTCCCCTGACATTAAGTCCAGTCATGTCTGACTCTGGGGTGTGGTGCTCATCTCCATTTCTAAGCCGAAGAGCCAGCATTGTCCGTAGGCACCTACAAGGTCATGTGGCCGGCATGACTGCATGGAGCGCTGTTTTATTCTCCATACATTGCAGTTTTTAAATACATAGTGCATTTGAAGATGCATTTAGCAGTATTAATTTATTCCTAATTACTTATTTTTCCTGCACCTTCTATCTACAGCCCTTAGTACAAGGTACTAAAGAGCACTATACAGTCCAATACTCGCAGGAACACCTCAGCAAATGAGAGTCCAAAAGTGGCAGGCTAAAACCTGGAATCTCACCCCATGCCTGATACCAAATGATGAGAAGAGTGGTTGACTTGGAAGGCACTGAATAGATGGCTCTGCCACCACAAGATGCAGAGCCAACCTTAAGAAATGGGGCCACAAAGTGGAGTCCACGATATACAAGTGTGGAGAAGAGCAAACCACAGACCACCTATTACAATGCAACCTGAGCCCTGCCACATGCACAATGGAGGACCTTCTTATAGCAACACCAGAGGCACTCCAAGAGGCCAGCTGCTGGTCAAAGGACATTTAATATAATGCCAAGGTTTTTTTTAACTTTGTGTTTTTTAAATACAACTGTACCCTTGGTTCGCTCCTGATGCAATAAATAAACAGTCCAAAACGAATGTGGAAAACATAATCCAACAAGATAAAACATTGTACAATTCAGCTGATCAGAATCCAGCTTTGTCCATTGGGCCAAAAGGCGTGGAGGTGGGACCTAGTGGCTTCTCTTTATACCAAGTAATGTAACTACTTCCAAAGATATATTGCATGAAATGGAAAAAACAAAGGCTGCCAAGAAAGAAGAGAGGCACTTATCTTTAAAATTGGCCACTGTTCCCATGTTATAATGTGAAAAAACCCAAGGGTTTTTGCTTAAGTCAGCTGACAAATCTCTGAATTAAAGCCAGGGTTTGAGTTGTCATAAAAAGAGACTAATCAGTATTTCTTGGTCCCAGCATGCATTCATAAGAGTAACCTGATACATGGATATTTACTTGGGATTTATTTAATCCACAGGCTGAATTTAACTGTTGACCTTCTGATCACATCTTCTACTTAACGTTTGGATTTTTCCCCCAGAGTATTAACATTCTTGCGCTACTCACCTTTAACATCCAAATAAATGTACTTCAGGTCGGCTGCTTCATAATGAACAAGGCAAACATATATTCCTGCATCTGCAATCTTTACATTGTTGATACATAGCATGGAAAGTCCCATTTTTAATTCATTTCGCACAACGGTGGCTCTCCCTTGATAGTCTGTGTGTTGCTGCCTGAGGTCTTCTTGACCCTTACTGAGCTTGTAAACTTCTTTTACTTCATTTCCCCGGGAGGGTTTTCTTTGCCACAAGACACTTAAATTGGTCAGACTGAATGGGTCATGGACTGGAAAGCGGCAGCCCATTGTCACAGCATCCCCATGCTCTGCAGAATAACGCGGCTGAAGAACTTCCACTGTGAATAAAGCTGAGACACAAATGTATAATTATTCAACAAGCAAAATAGTGGCATTTTTATAGAGCTGAAAGGATCCAGTAGGTCACTGCATCTGGAGGGTCACATAAAATAACATGGTGGGCTGGAATTGAGCCATGTGCCTTGAGTTTGACACATTTGTCCTATACCAAAACAGGAAGTAATTTATACAGCACATAACTTATCAGTGTTAATTTTCAATGAAATTTTCATATAAATAGTATTAGCCCTGAAATTACACTTAGGCCAGTTTGGGGTCTGTTTACAAACAGTTTCGTGAGAGATGTATAGAAATGTATCTTCTTAGGCGACAATCCCTGGAATTTCACACCATGCTGAACTTGGGTTAGAGGGATAAATAAACAAACAAACAAACTTTATTTATACCCTGCCACCATCTCCCCAAAGGGACTTGGGGCGGCTCACAAAAGCACTCCAGAATGCCGCACATAAAATAAAAAAACACATAAGCATAAAAGTGATAATATAAAATTACAACAGCAAACACAGCAAATGCACATAAAACAACACATAATAAAAATTTAAAATGCCTAAAATGCAGTAGTGGACAACATCCGTCTATGACCTGCCACCTTTACTGATCACTACTAAATAAGACTCTGTACATTGAGATGGCCTTCTTTTTCCGGAAAAGCTCCAGAGGTTTCAAAATAATGTGTCATTCTGGACCCATCCAGACAGGCCTTTAACCTGAAACCCGTCTTGATTTAATCGGAGGTGCCCAAATGATGCCTCTGGTAAAACCGAATTAATTTGGGACAAAGTAAGTAAACCCCGTTTTCTACCAAATGAATTAGATGCCTGATAAAACTCTGAAGTTTGATAAGATCCGGGTCTTTCCAGGTGTGGACCCAGTATGGATTGGGCCCAGGGACTGTGTCAAAATCCAAAAATAAGCCCTTGAAGTTAAAATAACTTACCTTAATGGTGGTTGGGTAAGTTGCTTTAATTTTAAAAGGCTTATTTTGGGGAGCTTCTGGCAGTATGGGTGCCCTCCCAGAAGTTACCAGGAGAGCATCTAGACACTCCCCCAGGAAAGTGTAGGTTTTGGGGAGAGGTGTGGAGACTCAAAACCGTGTCGAAGCAGGTTTCTTGAACTTGCATCAAATCGGGTTTCTTGAACCTGCTTTGGCACGCAGTTAAGTGAAGTCTAGAAGTGGACTCTGTATCCTTTGCAGTAGTCAAATAAAAGTTCTAATATAGTTTTGTTAATTCTCATTATACTCAAAACAGTCAGTTTTTCTTTCAACATAGCTACAATAATTTAGTCTGTAAAACAGAAGTGTGTATAGCCTGCAGTTCATAATAAAAATTCAATTCTGAAAGCTATACCTATGACTTAATGGCTGATTTGACTTCCCTCACTATAGCTGAATCCGACCATCTTCAGATCTGTGACAAACCCTTCTATTCTTACCAACATTAGCCATGCAGAAAAGGCAATCTTCGCTTGCAAAGCCAGCAGTAAAAGTAGCAGGCTCTGCTTGGATGCATGTAACACACACAACCAAACCCATATAACCATTTGAGGAATTAAATATGCCGCAACCTAATTGGTTACAGCTGAAAAGGCTTTATCCACCAGAAAATCAGATCTGTTCATCAACCAACAAGCCAGTTGACGCTAGGGATGGATCTACACTGCTCTATATCCCAGGATCTGAATCCCAGATTATCTGTTTATCCCAGATTGTTTGGCAGTGTAGGGTCATATAATCCAGTTCAAAACAGGTAATCTGGGATCATATCCTGGGATATAGGGCAGTGCAGTTCCAGCTTGAGTGATGAAGACTGCCCACATTCCTGAATTCAGATGCCAGTGTGTGGTGCCATTACCACCTGGGAGTGAGGAAGAGTCTATTGCCCTCAAATGGGCATAACTATGTTTGTTTCCTATGATCCCATAAGCATAGGGTCCACCCATCTCCCTGAAACTAGAGCTGGCCCAAACATTTCTAAAGTCATGACAAATCAATTTTGCAACACGACTATGCCTAACATTTGGACTACAAGCAACAGGAACCCAAAATAAGAGGATGGATAGGAAGGTGATTTGGTGCTGATTGCTTCTCTGAACAACTGAGGCTTTTCCTTCATGTTCCCAGGATTGGCACAGAGTGAAGCTTCTGCTCTTTCCTGGATCCCCACCCTTCCTGGTAGATTGCTTCTTTAGCCATTGCTGGAGCAGTAACTCTTTCTTTTGCTTTCTTTCTCTCTTTCTTTCACGTTCACTTTCTGTTTGCATTCAGATACCAATTTCTGATCTTTTGTGTACATATTGGGGCCAAACTAATGGGAAACTCCAGTTGGGTGGGTGGGCTTCCTGCCAGCCAATGAGTATGGAGTAGGCAGCTTCAAGTCAATTGACCAGCCACTTCCACAGCAGCCAATGAGCTGGGATCTAACACAAGAATCCCAGAACAATTCCATGGCAGCCGCACAAACCTGAGCAGCTTTGCTCCACCTCACACTGCAGCCTAGTCACCCGCTATGTTTCTTCAACAACCAATACTGTGACAGGTGAAGGAAAGCAGAGAACTCTGCTTAAAGATGTGTTCTGTTGCAAATTGACTCAGGCACCATACTTTTGGATTGTCTTCTGTGATTGCAACATTAAAATGAGGAAGATCTGAGGAACATCATGTCAGTTGTTCAATGTCGTCTATTGAGTGCAATATAACTTGGGGAAAACAGTTCTCTGGAGACCCCCAAATTGCAGTCATGTATTCACATTTGCTGAATGTCTACTAAAAGGGCTGGGCTTTAACACAGTGGTTTATCTACCAGCTGCAGAAAATCTTGCCAATACAAGGGTCAACAATTGAAGCCCAGGTTGGGGTGTGCTCCCACCATCAGCCCAGCTTCTGTTCACCTAGCAGTTCGAAAACAGCAATGTGAGTAGATAAATAGGTACTGCTTTGGTGGGGAGGTAATAAAAGGCGCACATATGGACATGTTCCATCGGGAGAGCGTCTAAGGACAAGAAACCTCCTTAGCATTGAAGATGGAGCAATAGCACCCCCCATGGCTGGAGTTGAGCACAATCTCCTGATGCCAGAGATGGAAAAAGATTTTTTTTCATGTCAGTAGCAACTTGAGAAACTGCAAGTCATTGTGAGAGAGAATTGACCCTGCAAGGACGGTGCCCAGGGGAGGCCCAGATGTTTTGATGTTTTCCCATCTTTGTGGGAGGCTTCTCTCATGTCCCTGCATGAGGAGCTGGAGCTAACAGAAGGAGCTCATCCGCACTCTCCCCGGATTCCATCCTGCGGCCTGTCGGTCTTCAGTCCTGCCGGCACAAGGGTTTAACCCACTGCGCCACCGAGGACTCAATGGAAAAAGATGGGAAGCCTTTACCTTTGTTTATGTACTGTCTGTCTTTGTTAATTGTGTAACGGCATTGAATGTTTGCCATATATGTGTACTATAATCTACCCTGAGTCCCCCTGGGGAGATAGGGCGGAATATAAATAAAGTATATTGCTATTATTATTATTATTATTATTATTATTATTAAAATTGACTTCCCCATTTTTGGAATATAGGAACTATACAAACTCTCTAGATAGTTGTGGAGTTCCTGAGCAGATCACAAGGGAAATGTAGAATTCTTAGAGTGATAGTGAAGTGGTGTAGTGGTCTGGGCATTGGACTAGGACTCTGGGGATTAGGGTTCAAATTTTCACTCGGCAATGGAAATTCATTGGGTGGTCATGGGCAAGTCACATTTTCTCACCCTCAAAAGAAGGCAAAACCAAAATCTTTGAACGCCCTGTGGTAGATTTGCCTTAGAGTCATCATATGTTGGATATAACTTTCAGACACACTATAACCAATTGGAGTAAAATCTCTCACCTGATACCAACTGAAGCTGGATCTGAAGTAGTACAACTAGTAGGGGTCCAAACATTTTTCTAGATGTATCTAAAAGACAATTTTGACATTATAAATATTCCCAAATGTATGAGGAAGTTGACACATGAAAAGAAACAAGGAAGTTCAAATAACGGTAATCCACAGCAGGCTTTGTTCAAACTATGAATAACTGATATGCTAGGAAATAGGTGTGTTATTTGTCCACTCTCCTTGACCCATACCTAGCAGTACAGCATGCCTTGCTGTCCATGAACCATTTTGTTCAATTCAGCATGGAACTACAAAGGAGGGGTAGAGAACAGTTTGAACTATGTTTCCCAAAGACCCTGCCAATGCTGAATTTAGGGGGAATTGTGAGCCAAATGATGCAGCATAGCATATTGGAGATCCTGATCAAGAAGCAAACGTACTAAAAACAAAATACAAAGTTTCATTATAAGATCCTCATTCTATATATAGAGCGAAATAGTTTAGGGTACTGATCCAGCTCCATTGTTATGAAGAGAAGTCAGAGAAGAGATACAGAAACATCCTCGAAATTATCAGTTTATATCACATAGGACTGAAGATTTTAGACCAAAGGGAACTTTTTCATCACTCAGACTAGCCAATGCTATTATCTCTTTCCTCTGGGTGCCTGTTGTTCATTTGTCCCTGGAGGCAGGGTCTTTAGTGTTCTGTGTGACTAAGGTAGCCTTGCACTAAAACACAAAGGGATGCAGAATTGAGCAGCTTCAAATTTCTGTATCTAACACAATGGTCTTAATAACATCCCCTGAAAATATATTGTTTTTATCATTAGCGGAGGAAAGAATTCATCATTAAATGAACCAAGCCACTTTGGTTTCTATTGCATTTCTTTCATTCCCCAATCTTGCCAATATATTGTCGAAGGCTTTCATGGCCGGAATCACTGGGTTGTTGTAGGTTTTTCCGGGCTATATGGCCATGTTCTGGAGGCAATTTTTCTCCTGACGTTTCGCCTGCATCTATGGCAAGCATCCTCAGAGGTAGTGAGGTCTGTTGGAAGTAGGAAAAATGGGTTTATATATCTGTGGAATGACCAGGGTGAGACAAAGGACTTTTTTCTGCTGGGGCTAGGTGTGAATGTTTCAGCTGATCACCTTGATTAGCATTCAATGGCTTGGAAGTGCCTGGGGGGAATCTTTTGTTGAGAGTGATTTTATGTGCCTGTTTGTTTCCCCTCTGTTGTTTTGCTGTTGTAATTTTTGAGTTTTTTAATACTGGTAGCCAGATTTGAAATCCACAAGCATGTGGACAATTTCAACAGAAAGGAAGAAACCATGAAAATGAACAAAATCTGGCTACCAGTATTAAAAAACTCAAAAATTACAACAGCAAAACAACAGAGGGGAAACAAACAGGCACATAAAATCACTCTCAACAAAAGATTCCCCCCAGGCACTTCCAAGCCATTGAATGCTAATCAAGGTGATCAGCTGAAACATTCACACCTAGCCCCAGCAGACAAAAGTCCTTTGTCTCACCCTGGTCATTCCACAGATATATAAACCCATTTTTCCTACTTCCAACAGACCTCACTACCTCTGAGGATGCTTGCCATAGATGCAGGCGAAACGTCAGGAGAAAAATTGCCTCCAGAATATGGCCATATAGCCCGGAAAAACCTACAACAACCTTGCCAATATAGTTGCCAGGTCAGGTGTATATAAGGCCATGAGATTTCAGGGCCAAAACCTGAGACCGAGGGGGGTCTGTCCCCTCATGGGATGCCACTGGAAGCATGTCCTGGAATTGTTACGAAGGACAGCCATTAAGCACCAACTGTATGTGTATAAAGAAAGCCTATCTAATTGTTCCACCAAAAAAACACAATGTCTAAAAAAATGAGATTTACAGACACACACCTTTCAAGGCAGTACTCTTGCCCTGAGACTCCTCCCCATCCACCAGAGGGCTGGAGCAGAGGGTCCAGGCTATAATACTCAAACTATGACACCTGACAATGCTACAAATAGTGGCGCAATTGGTTAAACCCTTGTGCTTCTGAACCCCCAACCTGAAGGTTGGCCACTCGAATCCATGGGATGGGGTGAGCTCCCACTGTTAGCGCTAGCTCTTGCCAACCTAGCAGTTCAAAAACATGCAAGTGTGAGTAGATCAATAGGTACCGCCTTGGCAGGAAAGGCAAAAGATGATCCATGCAGTCATGTCACCACTCAACCAGGAGGTGTCTAAGGACAACACAGGCTCCTCGCCTTAGAAATGGAGAAGAGCACCTCCCCCAAAGCCGAAGATGAGCACTGCCTCCAGAGCCAGAAATGAAAGGAGAAGCCTTTGCCTTTGCTGTGTTATTTGTGTTCACTGTATTTCACTGTAACAAGGAATGGAAGGTTTGCCTGTGTCTTTTTATATGCTGTAATCCACTCTGATTCCCCTCAGAGAAAAAGGTGGAATATAAATAAAGTATTAGAAATAATATTAGGGAGACTTTTGTCTCTTTTGCAGGTGCCTTACAGCTTTGCACAGATTGGGGCCATTTTGAGAGCACAGGAGACATTGTAGTTTCAAAATTGAAAGATATTGCTTTCTTATTCCCAGCAAGCTCAAGGAAGGAAACATGACTGCATCTGATGCATTCCACATGACTATGTGCAAGTCCTTCATAAATTCCATTGTCATTGTAGGAGCTGGTGGGGTTTCCCCCCACTCCTTATGTTTTCTGTACCCCTGCCCACTTTTTGAATCATTGTGACAGATGAATCAGCTTGCACAGGTATTGAAGCCTTTTTCATTGGCCAAATAAAAGCATTACTAGAATATGGATTTTGAAATGAATGCCTCTTATAGCCCTTGGCTCTTACCTTCACTGCTCAGAAGTACAGCTTCCTTTACATCAGAAGAATTTGCTAAGAATGATTCAGATGCGATGCCAGGCTGAGTAAGATTGGACACTCATTCTTTCTCATTGTGGATTTCCCCCTTTTATGGATTTCCCAGTGGTCTGACCATCTTCGGGATAGTCTGCTAATGGATCTAGCCTTGTCCTGTGCTGTCACTTATCACTGATACCACTCAGAGAAGGAAGATAACAATGAATGAAGGTCAAAAGAGGGAAGGGAGAGAGAGCTGAACAGGCTACTGAATTTGGAGAGTTGTAGTTCCCAAAAATCATAGAATCATAGAGTTAGAAGAGAACTCGTGGGTCATCCAGTCCAACCCCCTGCCAAGAAGCAGGAAAATCGCATCCAGCCTCTGTTTAAAAGCCTCCAAAAAAGGAGCCTCCACCAGACTCCGGGGCAGAGAGTTCCACTGATGAACAGCTTTCACAGTCAGGAAGTTCTTCCTGATGTTCAGATGGAATCTCCTTTCTTGTAGTTTGATGCCATTGTTCCGCCTCGTAGTCTCCAAGGAAGCAGAAAACAAGCTTGCTCCCTCCTCCCTATGATTTCCTCTCACATATAACTTGTTCGTGTTGTGATCTGAAAAGAAGTCTGAGGCTGTCTTGCTGCTTCTCTTCTCACATCTATGTGAGTTATATTTCTGTAATAAAGAAGGGTAAGAAACTTGGAGATTTCAGAGAGAAGCCTGATCTGTAACTGTGTAGTAATCATGTCGTTAGATTTTTCCCACCACATGTATGTCTTTGCCCTTCAAGCACATACGGTATTTAAAGCCACACACAGAAAGTGGAAATCATTATGTGGCAAAGGAGAAGAGGAAATGATCAGTTTTGGTAAACATGACTTGACCTTTTCCATACCATCCTTTTGAAGTAGAGATAAAAGCTTCACAATAGAAAACAGTAAATGGCTATGCTACAGTTATGGCACTTTATTAATAATATATGGTTTAGTCCTAGACAAAGACAGATCAGAAAAAAGAGGATCTAGGTCTTTCCGTGGCATGGATGGATTCTGCCTGCTTCCCATTTTTCCCTCAACTGCAATATGGTGGAATGGTTACTACAAAGGGACACAGAAATGCAGGAAGAGTCTGATAGAGGTTTCTAAATGACATATAATTTTCTTTGCCAACCTACAGCTTACAATTTTGCTCTTCTACAAGGTACTTTTTTTAAAAAAAGCAAGCATGTTATTATGCAGCAATACAACCCGCAGCTAGGCATGCAAAAGCTATTTCTGTAGTAAAGACCTGTGCATTGTAAAGGAACTGAGTCATCCCTGTTGCTCAAACAACAGGACCATCAGTCCTGAAGGATGAAAGGAGGCTGCTTCACATTCATCTATGGTTTCAGCAACCTTTGGTTTTTCCCATGTTGGTGAATCTACTATAGATTTTTATCTGAATTTTGAAAGGAGCTATCCATGGTACTTAACCAGTCCTGCAGCCAGGTCCCAGTGGCATCACTAGGGTGGGTGCCACTCGGTGCAAAAATTCATGGTGTCACCCCATGGATCACCTCCCATACCAGACCAGCACACAATATTGTAGCTGAAATACCAGACAATTTGAATAAATCTGCTTGCTTGTAGCATGTGCGGAAGAAACCACACGATTCAAAGCACCATAGTAATTGGATATTAATGACAGTTCTAACTGGAAGAAATGCATATTATGAGATGGTTCCAGAAGTAAATTAGCTCTAGAGATTTAGCCTTACAGGTATACTGATACAGTGCCTATAAGCTGGACTGATGAAAAATGTTATTGTGGTCGTATCTAACTATAGGGATATTATATATATATATATATATATATATATATATATATATATATATGGCTGTTGTAGGTTTTTCAGGCTATATGGCCATGTTCTAGAAGCATTCTCTCCTGACATTTCACCTGCATCTATGGCAAGCATCCTCAGAGGTTGTGAGGTCCTCAGAGGTTGTGAGGATGCTTCCCATAGATGCAGGTGAAACGTCAGGAGAGAATGCTTCTAGAACATGGCCATATAGCCTGAAAAACCTACAACAACCCAATGATTCCAGCCATGAAAGCCTTTGACAATACAAATAAAATGTATTTTAAAAATAACTTTTTGCTGAAATCCCATATAATTTTGTATAGGCAAGTCATTTTGGTGCCACTCCACGCATCCCTTGATGATGTCACTGCCTCTAAAGTGCAGACTAAACCCCAAAACACATCCACCATATTGTCACGGAAGTTTCCCAGCCTTTGCAAATGCATCCAAATTCACTGCAATGAACTGGCCAGGTAGGTTGTTCCACACAAACGGGTTTCACAGCCTTATCTAGAGCCATAATTACTAGTTTCAAACCAAAACTGAGGGTGCACCCACACTGTAGAATTAATGCTGTTTGACACCTCTTTAACTGCCATAGCTCAATGCCATGGAATCCTAGGAGTTGTAGTTTGGTAAGGCACCAACATTCTTAGGAAGAGAAGGTTAAAGAGCTTGTTTAAAAAAACTCCCATAATTTCATAGCACTGAGGTGTGGCAATTTAAGTGGTACCAACTTGCATTAGTTGTACTGTGTAGATCAGGCAAGTTTGGCCCTCCAGGTGTTTTGGACTTCAATTCCCACCATTCCTAAGCTTAAGCGACTGAGGGGGGAAAGGAAGGGGCCTGAGGCTGTTAGGAATTGCAAACACCTGGAGGGCCCAAGTTTGCCCCTGCCTGATGTAGATGCATCCTGAGTTACGAGAACTAGAAAAGATTAATCTACAAGTCCAGTCATCTCCTGTGAGTGAAATAACATATATCTAAGGCTGACCCTGACAGAGTTACCTATATATAATGGACTGTCTTATTATAAATAAACCAAGGGCTGGTAACCTTGAACACTCCAAATATTTTGGACTGCTACTCCCATCATTCCTGGAGCTTCTGGAAGCTGAAACCCATATTTCCTACATCAATTTTAAACCAAAACCAACACATTTGTCTTTTTTAGCCATTATTAACAACCTTGATTTATACCCCAAACCCACAACTCTGTTTCTTCCTTGAATTAGCCATTCTTAGCATTAAACAATTTCCCTCATATCTCCTGCTTTCAATACAAAAAGCTTTCTGTGCTCATGTAAACAAAATGTCCTAGAACACAAGAGAGAAATCAGAATTATATTCACCTCTACAGCTAGCTTAGACCTCCTCCACTGTAAAATTCTTTAGGATTTCTGCAGGTTTGATTTGGCAAGGGTTCCTGGAGAAGAAGCAGCAAACATGATGCTTCAGAGTCACCGACTCCCTCTTCTGATTTCATCAAGCATACTTCACACTGGCTTTCAGGAAATGAGTCTAGTACACTTTCACTTTCATTTATAGAAAATAATAGTTTTTCATGGGTTATAAATGTCATTTCCTAATTGGCTCTATAGATTTTTTTTAAAAAAAAAACATAGAAAACATGTATTAAAGTGCAAAAACTTTGTTTTGCAGGACACGCTGCAGCACATCTTGCTACAGCTTTTCAATGAATATCTCATAGAGTCTCAACCAATTCAACACAATTTGTGGCAACCACAAAAACAAAGTTTATGGAGTATAACAACTACTTTCAAAGTAAGTAGTGCATAATTAAGCAGGTAATAACACTTTCAAACCAGGAACAGAGCATTTTTCAGATTTTGTTACATTAACCTTTTGAAACCTGGCCTGCAGTATAAAAGTGAATCTTACTTTAATAGGTGCAGTTGTCTCGGGTTTCAGGAGAATGTATTGATACATGCCTATTAATTACAACTGCATCTTTTAAAGAAGTAATGCTTTGCTTTATCATAATTTAAAAGCAATTAAAATTAATATTTTAATTAACCTTTCAATAAGTTTATAAAACATCAGAATGAGGCATGCTATTGACCTGAGGTAGTAATCATACCGGGCTCCCTGGTGGCACAGCAGGTTAAACTGCTGAGCTGCTGAACTTGATGACCGAAAGGCTGGTGGTTTGAATCCAGGGAACAAGGTGAGCTCTCACTGTTAGACCCAGCTTCTGCCAACCTAGCAGTTCGAAAACATGCAAATGTGAGTAGATCCATAGGTACTGCTTTATTTATTATTTTATTTATTTACATCACTTATATCCCGCCCATATCGGCCCGCAGGCGACTCAGGGCGGTCTCTGCAGGCGACTCAGGGTGGTCGGGAAGGTAAGGGCACTCCATGCAGTCATGCCGCCCTCATGACCTAGAAGGTGTCTACAGACAACGCCGACTCTTAGGCTTATAAATGGAGATGAGCATCAACCCCGAGAGCTGGATACGACTAGACTTAATGTCAGGGGAAACCTTTACCTTTACTTAGTAATCATACCTAAGTAAAGAGGACCCCCCACACACAAAAGTAATTAGTTATTGTTACACCAAAAATGAACATCAAATTGCAATTTAATGTACAAACCTAATTAGTAATTTAATTTGTGGGTAGGTATGTGCCTTCAAGTCACCTGTAGACTATGGGGACCCCATGAATTCCACCTAGGTTTCCTTAGGCAATAAATGGTTTTGTCAGTCTATCCACTGAAAGACAGCCTTCAGTTCCTGGCATTCCTTGGCGCTCTCCCACCCAAGTATCAGCCAGGACTGATGCATAGCCTCCAAGATCGGGGATCTGGTGCCTTTAGGGTATTTTGTTTACAAGGGATAACTTAGTATAATGTAATTAGTTGTACCTTGATTATTGCAAAAGGAATTAACTACACGTAGCTTTTTATTTGTAACACCTCACTTCCTATTTCTGTTAGGAAATCACTGCAAAAATGATCTGCACATTAAAGCCTGAAAATCTCTTTTCTCTCTCCATTCCCTAATCTGTCCTTGAGCAAAGATTATTTTGCTCAAAACCAAGGGGAGCGGAAAGCTCTTTGGCACAATACTTTTCAAAGTTCAGAAGATGTAAATCTGGTTGATTTGGTGCAGGTAGCCTTGGATGGCAAGTGCTGAAAAAGAAGTGACGATTGGTACTTTGGGCACATTTACACTGGCACTTTATCCTGCAGGGTGGGTGAATCAGCTCCATGATGCATAAAACTAATTCGATTTTATGCGGGTCACATTCACTTCACACACCCTTGAACAATTGTTTTAAAAAGTAGTGGGTTGTCCTAAATTTTCCCCCAGAATCTGGAGCAAGCTGTGGCTTTGAGCTCATGTAAGCAGTTGGGTCAGTTCCACCATGGAACCAGCTGCAATTGTTTGCACAGCCATCCCATATTCCCTAGGCTCTGGTAGCCTGAGGACACAAGAAGGCAGTCTCCATCCCCTTCCTGTCCTGATTGTACTGGAAGCCCCCAGACACAACATGGCTAGTGGCCATCCATCACTCATTGCATCAGCCAGGGCACAAGGGCTATCGGAGAAGGGTGGAAGGGGGAAAGGGGTGATTCCTCTTGCGTCACTCTGACACCTCGGCTGATGTCACTACTAGTGACAAATGATGTTCACCAGAGATGTCACATCCTGAAGACATGAATATGATGAGAACAAGAAGGAGGTGGTGAGGATGTGCATCCATCCAACAGTGCCAGAGTAGTTTTGGTACCACTCCTTCTCGCCCCCACAGAAGCCCAGAGACACAAATCATCCTGGGGCCTATCTGGAATTCAACACTTCCATGCCCTGCTTTGCTGGCAGTGACACTTTCCCATCACATACAGGAAGCATCACCATGCAACTTCCCAATAAACTAGCCCCATGGTTCCTAATGGAACATGCAGAGGCTCCCATGTTGCCGGCACAGCATTGTGGGATGCTTGTATCCTGGTTGAGCCCCGGAGCCCCACTCAAAGAGAGGCTGCATTGTCTGATGAGCAGCATGGGACTCCATGGCTCAACTGGGATGAAAGTGTCATAGGATGCTGAAAATCACAAATATGATGAGGTTGTAGGACAAATAATGCCCTGTGCTAGTTAAGTTATGAAGTCCCTTACTTGGATCCTGAAGGAGATAGGCCCGGTAGGTCTATGCTACCTGCCTTTTGACACACTCGCATAGATTATCAACTCTATCATTATGCCTAGAATCACCACGAAAGAGAACACCTTCAAATTCATAATTGCATCATATAATCTAAATCCATTGTTTTAAAAAATTGGCAGGAAGATGGTCAAAGGGGCCCTGTGCTTAAGCACACCTAAGAACAATGGTAAATCCAACACTGGTGGGGTCCTCTGGATTCTCTAGTCTACTCCCCTGAACAACATCAGAGCTTTTCAGCAGAAAATTCTGAATAATGTATGAAGCTACAGATCCCATGTGTCCATAGGACGGAGCTATTACAGTCAAAGGTACAGCACTTGAGATAGATAAAGTAGATTCTGAAGTGGGTTGAACTTTGTCTTTCTCACAAGCAGAAATTGGACTTCCTACATGTGGCACAGAGGGTTAAACTGCTGAGCTGCTGAACTTGCTGACCAAAAGGTCAGCAGATTGAATCTGGGGAGCAGGGTGAGCTCCGGTTGTTAACCCCAGCTTCTACCAACCTAGCAGTTCGAAAACATTCAAATGTGAGTTGATCCGCTTCAGCGGGAAGGTAATGGTGCTCCATGCAGTCATGCTAGCCACATGACCTTGGAGGCGTCTACAGACAACGCCAGCTCTTTGACTTAGAAATGGAGATGAGCACCACCCCCAGAGTTGGACACGACTAGACTTAATATCAAGGGGAAAACTTTACCTTTACTTTACTATATTTGCCATTCAGTTCAAGCAAACTTAGGGCTACATTTCCCTCCTTGTTCTGCGCCTCTCTTTTATCCCCAATATAAAGAAAAACTCACCTCCACTTTCATGTCCAAAGGCTCTTTTTCAAACAATTGCCAGAGCACAATAAATGCCAAGTCCTTCCTGTGAGGTGGTAGATGCTCTTAAGAAATGGAGGTATCCATGACCAAAAGGTCATTGTGGTCTTGGGGCCTCCTGATCTGGCTTCACTCATTGGGGAAACCCAGATGAATCTTTTCTCACTCTCTACAGGACTGTTCAGCCACGAGACTGAATAATCCTGTTTCTTACTGGCAGTCCAGACAATCCATTCCATGTTCTGATGTGTTTAGCAACCACATTTTTACTAATTAACAAAATTAAAACCAAAAAAGCAAGTCAATTGTGCGTTTTATCTCAACAATTCCTAGCCTTACCACAAATCGACCGCAAGTTGTAGAAGGTCCCAACCTTAATTTTCAACATATATTTGAGACTGCTTTATTCATTTGGGCCATTTTTTCTGAAGTAAAAAACCAACAATTAATCATTTTGTAAAAAAAATTCTCCTTAAAACCATCACATAATATACATTGCAATCCCTTTGACCACATTTTCCCTATTTTCCACCTGTACATTATACATTCAGAGCCCATTTTATCACTTGTTCCTCTTCTAACTCTATTTTAAAAGAAGTTTATACATCACCTGCAAATTCCTGCATCTCAAATTTACATTTGCTCTTTCCAAAATTATACATTTTGTCCCTTTAAAATCTTTCAAATATTTGTTTGTAAAAGTATCATTGAGAACTATCACCCCTTGACAGTTATTCTTCATTTCATATAATTCTATATTGTTCTTGACCAAATTTCAAAAGTCTGTGATAAGGAAGTGAAGAAGGAGCAGAACATGTACAGAAACATGATAAATAACCATAGATGTGTGTTTGCAAGTGTGTGCATGTCTTCAAATTATCTGTCCATAGGATGGAACTATAGCATTTTTCAACCTAGGAACGATGAAGTCTCACAATCTCCACTTACTGGGCAGAGGTTGCTGCAAGCTACATCATCATCATCTTAGGCCAGTGTTTCTCAACCTTCCTAATGATGTGACCCTTTAATACAGTTCCTCATGTTGTGATGACCCCCAACCACAAAATTATTTTCATTGCTACCTCATAACTGTCATTTTCCTACAGTTATGAATCGTAATGTAAATATGTGGTATGCAGGATGTATTTTCATTCCCTGTACCAAAATTGGCACAAGTACCCAATATGTCCAAATTTGAATACTGGTGGGGTAGGGAGGGGGGTTGATTTTATCATTTAGGAGTTGTAGTTTCTGGGACTGATAGTTAACCTACAATCAAAAAGCATTCTGAACTCCCCCAATGATGGAATTGAACCAAACTTGGCACTCAAAACTCCCATGACCAACATAAAATACTGGAAGAGTTTGGGGGGCATTGACCTTGAGTTTTGGAGTTGTAATTCATCAATGTCTAGAGAGCACTGTGGACTCAAATAATGATAGATCTGGACCAAACTTGGCACAAATCTATATAAATAAAAATATAATGTTCGTTT